CAAATAGTTGTATCTCAGCCAAATATTGTCCTATCAGCTTTCAGCTGATGCATAAATCTCAATTTTGGGAAATTAGCCCTTATGACTGGTTTTGTGCTCCAGGGTCACATATTAGTAACTAAATAGTACATTGTAGTAGCTTTGTAAAAGACCATAATCTAAACTATGGGTACTTATTTTCAATAATGTGAGTATTTAACTTTTTAAAAAGGGAGTTCTGTGGGGAATTCAGCGATAAACTCTACACCTTTATGTGGAAGTTCTTGTCCACCAGGATGTTCTCTGGTTTGAGATCTTTGTGAATGACTTGGTTCTCCGTGAGATAAACCATTCCCTCCACGATTTCCAGAATGATCCTCCCTTTCACAGATATTGGAACAGGCACCTGGAACCCCAAACATAAGGAAACTATTAAAGATATCAAAAAGTGACACATTTTCACTACACATGAAGCGCTTTGAATGAGGAATTGTTTTTTTGCATGCACTGTCTGTGATTCTCTAAAGGAATTATGCAAATCAGGTAATGGAGCAAACAATATTTGTATACTAGTGCATGCAAGGGCAGGTTATATTGGACAGCAGGTGAATACAGTGATAGGGGTTCAGAAATGTTGAAAGCATTCACCTGAGATATGTCCATTTTGCACATTAAAGACACTTGATCTGATCCTGCATTTACATCAAGATATCAATACCGCTACGCATGCTGCTGTCCTTTAAATAGCTTTTATTGTAAGCTTACAAGCACACTCATGTTCATGAACAATGAACCATTTTTGCCTTTTCAAATGTTTTTTTTTTTTTAAATGTGTGTTAATGCAAACAGCATAGATTTTATAATATAAATTCGTATACTTACAAATTTGTGTTCATGTGAATGGTATTTTTAAAAAAATCTGACACTGCACAAAAAAATAAATAGTGCACCAAAATGAATGCTGTTGCTAATCACTGACATGCAAGACTGTAATAATCCAAAACAAAATCTTAGCATTTATTATATGGAAAATAATAGATTTTTGTCTTTTCTTTTAAGCAACAGTTGCATTACGTAAACAAACTTAAAACATTTAAAGGGTTGAAATCCTGAAAATTGATGTTTTGGTAGTTATGATCAGCACCGATGATAGTGGAAAAACATATTAAAATATAATATTTTATGACATGGACTATTTCGTCAGCTAAGGAGCTCTGTTTAACCTTTTTAAACGGATGCACAAGGGCTAACCCTGTTTTGACACAATCAATGCGTTTTTGGACATTCTGGACAGATAAAAATGTATGCAACTTCATGTATATTTCACCAGTTACCGTCTCCAGCATGGTGAGCAGGTTTCCTTTAGGAATGAGCTCCATGACTAAAGAATAGTCTCCGTCCTCCAGAATAACCCCCAGCAGCTTGACCACTCGCTGATGGCTTAACCTGCTCATCAGACTGCCTTCATCCAGAAGAGACTGCTTCTGCCGGCTGAGTCAGACACATTCAACTCAGTCAGTTCCCACAGCATCTGAGCATCTGAAGCCAGAGCAGATGCTCCACACTCACCCGTTGCGCGGAGGGCCGGTGTAGACCGTCTTCAGCACCACCTGGCCCAGGGTTTTGTGGTAACACAGGTAAACCTCCCCAAACCCTCCGTAATCCAAAGGCTCTTTCTTGATCAGATCTCCAGACTTCATAAGACTCAGGCTCGCTGCTGTAGCCATAGTTCCTCTCTTCCTAAAGACAGCTTCCCTAGAGCAACACAAACATGTGACAGAGCAGACTAACTCCAGAATGAAACCCAGAGTTAGCTGAAGAAGAACATTCTGTCGGACAAAACTATTTGCATATTTGCCGACGATCAAAGTTTGAATGAAGAGCCGCAGACGAAACTGCAGTTCACAGAAACACATTAGAAGATCAATAGATATTCGAAAGGTTGTATATGGCATTTCTGCTTTCCATCTAATAATCAGAAACAATGCAACTTTTTCTTCGTTAGTTGACTTCAGATATTAGATAAACCATCTTTAAAAGTGTTCAGAAACACAACAGTACATAAGTGTAAGACCTACCGTGTAACATAACGCCTATATGCACTTCTCCTTCGCTTCCTGGATATTAGGTTACAAAGTGAAAGTAAAAATCAGGAAGACAAACATAATCACCAGCAGAAAACCAGATCACCAGCGCACGTTTTAATCTAGTAACTGAGAAATGAACATTTAAATATTGCATTTTAATAAACAAAAAGTTTATTAAATCGAAAATCTCAAAATCAAATGCTGTGAGTAAATAGAAACTGCAGATTTATTTAGAAATAAATACATACATATTTATAAATAAATAAATGGACACGAATTATAGATTTCAATTGGAATTATTTTAATTTGACTGGTTTACATGCAGAAACAGCGCAGAAACATTTACAAAACAGCGTTAAAAAGGATTGACCGATCAGAATCAAGTGCTCCGGAAAACATGTTATTAATCCTAAAAATGCCCTCTGTCGTATCCAAACCCTTTTTGCCTGTGCATTTTTAAAATAACTAGTTATTCGTTTAAATCTGTGCTACAGATATCCACTTCCAAACTGTCCTGCTAGAATGAAACCACTGCGAGTAATTCAATCAAACTTCAGTTGCGTCACGAGACGCGTATATGAACAACAGTGCTTGGTGTCGGTAATAGCGTGCACTGCGCCTTTAAGAGAGGCTCGTCAAGGCGCTCGACACGACAACATAAACAGCGATTAAACACTCGACACAAGCGGACTCCTGAAACACGAGCCACTGCGAACAGTGTGGCATGGGAAACGGAATAAATAAGGTAGATGGGCATGACTTCCCTCTTCTCCTTCCATCACTTTGAGAGGGAATGCAATCTTGATGCTGGAAGGGTGTTTATTAGTGATGCTGGTTAAGGAAAGCGTCACTGTTGCTCATATACTTGTGTTATTGACTTATTACTTAAGCACGCCGGCTGGAACGATTCCTAAAATCATGTGTCTTGAAGGAGGGACCCGAGATTTGTCTAAAGAACATCATAATAGTTCGACTAAGTTGATTTGGGCCAGAAAGCAACAACACCATAGCAACGCGCCAGCAACCACACAGCAGCATGAACGCCTTAGCAACTGCATAGCAATACCCTAGCAACCACACAGCAACAAGCTAACAACTAGAAAGCCTTAACAACTGCATAGCAATACCCTAGCAACCACACAGCAACAAGCTAACAACTAGAAAGCCTTAACAACTGCATAGCAATACCCTAGCAACCACACAGCAACAAGCTAACTACTAGAAAGCCTTAGCAGCTGCATACCAATACCCTAGCAACCATACAGCAATGCGATAACTACTAGAAAGCCTTAAAAACTGCATAGCAATACCTTAGCAACCACACAGCAACAAGCTAACTACTAGAAAGCCTTAACAGCTGCATACTAATACCCTAGCAACCACATAGCAACAAGCTAACTACTAGAAAGCCTTAAAAACTGCATAGCAATACCCTAGCAACCACACAGCAACAAGCTAACTACTAGAAAGCCTTAGCAGCTGCATACTAATACCCTAGCAACCACATAGCAACAAGCTAACTACTAGAAAGCCTTAAAAACTGCATAGCAATACCCTAGCAACCACACAGCAACAAGCTAACTACTAGAAAGCCTTAGCAGCTGCATACTAATACCCTAGCAACCACATAGCAACAAGCTAACTACTAGAAAGCCTTAAAAACTGCATAGCAATACCCTAGCAACCATACAGCAACATGCCAACTACTAGAAAACCTTAGCAACTGCATACCAATTCCCTAGCAACCACACAGCAACAAGTTAACTACTAGAAAGCCTTAACAACTGCATAGCAATACCCTAGCAACCACACAGCAATGCGATAACTACTAGAAAGCCTTAGCAACTGGAAAAAACAACAACCTTGCAACCACATAGCAACGCGCTAATAATTGCTCACAGCAACATGACCACATAAAAACACCTTAGCAATGTAATTAAGTGTGTTTCTTCATCAGATCTGAAGAAATGTAGCACTGCATCAGTGTCTCAGCAATGGATGCTCTGCAGTGAATGGGTGCCGTCAGAATGAGAGTCCAAACAGCTGATAAAAACATCACAATAATCCACAGCACTCCAGTCCATCAGTTAACATCTGCAGAAGACAAAAGAAGAAACTAATCCATCGAGACGTTTTTAACTTTAAACCATTGCTTCCGACTAAAATGCGAGTCCTTCTTCCTGGTCACAATGAGAACTTTCTGTATTTTGACACTGATTTCAGAAGAATAACTTTTTAATTCAAACATAATTCATGTCTAAGGGGGGGTCTGCAAACATAACAGAATAAAAGAAGAATCAATAAATTATGAATAATTTACCGCCATTGTGTGAATAATAAGTAATCATGTAATCCATAAAAAAAGTACCTGTGATCTGATTACAAGCATTACAAAATGCAATATACTCTAATAATGGGTGCTTAATGTTACAGCAAATGATACAGTATCAGTTCTGAACTGATGTTTGAAACCAACACACAAAAACACATTGATTTTAGGAAAACTGAGTGATGCTAAGTTGTGTTGTGGCTTGGTTGTGACTGAACAAACCTGCGTGTGTGGTTCCAGGTTCTGCCAGACCTGTACTTGGGTAACTTCAAAGGTAAGAATGGACAAGGCTAGAATCCACAACACCATTTTAATAAGTGCGTGCATGGTTCGGAAAGATGATAAACGTGTGGATGTGTTCTTACAGATGCCAGAGACCGGGAGCAATTAGCCAGAAACAGCATCACACACATCCTCTCCATCCATGACACCGCTGCGCCTATTTTACAGGTAGTGCGACTCGTTAGTTCATGTCTTTAAAGTACGGTGAGGTTTTTTTACTGTCTCTGGGACCAGTTTCTCAATACTTGGGTCATTTTTTTTTTCCTTGGGCCAGTTTTTCAATACTTGGGTCCCTTTTTTTTTTTTTTTTTTAATCTCCATGCAGCTAAACTGTGCATCATTTTCCATTGCTTTGGCACAAAATGCACTCCGTTGCACATGTTTACATATTATTTTCAAAACTTAACTTCAAAGCCTAACATAATACAAAACCGAGTAAGACAGCAATTTGCTACATTTCTACAGTAATACCATATTGACATATATTACAGATTTAAATAATGAAATAATATCAAAACAATTAGTCTTTCAATTTCATTACCATTTATACAAAAGGTGAAACTTATGAATAATTTTGTACTTTAATGTAAACATGGAATTTCTTGCAACGCAGGCTTTTATGAAGCATGGTAAATAATGAAGTAAACTAATCACCCATTGTTTTGCAGGTTACACTTTCAACACAGTGACAGACACACAAACACTTTCTCTTCAGTGAATTAGTTTTGCTGCATTAGGGTTTGGCTTCAGTTCTGTGTTGATGAATCAAGCAGCAGAAACAGTCTTAATTATCATTTTAAGAGGAAGTTAAAACAATAACCTCAATACATCCTACATCCTAAAACGTATGATTTAATGAAATAAAAGTCCAAACGTAGCACTGTTTTGCATTTTACAGGCTCACCGTTTCAGAACAGTTCTCAGTCAATGAATACTGTGCTTTTATGTCAATAGATTATTGAATTATGACAGTGTTTACTTTATGGTGATTATATTTGAATATATTGTAGAAGGTTGTAATTGTGCATATTTTATCTCCCTCATCTGTTTGAATGAGCAGCTAGAAGTAGTAAAGTATAGACCTTTCAAAATAAAAGTCCTGGTGTATTTTGGGCTTGTTTATAATTAAAAATTTTTTTTATATTATCTTTATAGTCCCAGAAAGCAAAGACTAAAAACATTATTTAACATGCAATGTATAGATATTACAACAATCAGAACAATAATCTTTAAATATCAGCAAAGTCCTGCATCGACTGACCTCTAATTCTTATGTACTGATATATTACTTCTATATATTTAGTAAAACACGTCTTGAGAATTTCAAACTTGCAATAACACTGTTTTGAATTTTAATGTGCTGCAGCCTGTTTAATCTAGATCTAATGCAGGTCTTAAAAACTCTTCTATTTGATTCAGGAAATTCTGCAGAGACCCTAAAGTAGACTTTCTCAGCGAAGGGCTTCTCTTACAGGAAAACGAGCCCTTCTGCACAAATGTACTTGTGCTGAATGCTTTGTGCTCTTGCATGGTGCTTTTCAGAGACCTGTGAAGACGTGAGAGTAAAACAATGAAATGCATTGCATTTATGCATGCATTATTTTGAGTTATTATGAAATGAACGCTTAGCAGAAATAAAACATGTTGTGCATGTGCAACAAAGAGCTCTTGACATCAATATGTTTACCCTCTATGTCTTTCTTTATACTCTATCATTGTTTAGCATGTGATATTGAGGCGTATTAAAGCACATCTCTGTCTTTCCTCTGTTTCTTTAGGAGATGACTTATCTTTGTATCCCAGCAGCAGATTCGCCCACACAAAACCTGTGAGTAGGCATGCATTTCTGATGGGCTCGTTCACTAATAGCTATCCGATCTCTCTCGGCCGCCAGTGGGCAGCGCGAGTCATTGTAGCAACATGAAGATGTAAATGCTTTTTATAAACAAACGCTTTATAAGTTCTGCATTCACACATGCTCTTCCCTCTTGTCTTTTCCTCAGTCTTCACTAACACTAACGCTGTGATGTTAGTTTTTCATGCCATATCAAACTAGTTACACCCCTGAGCGCGCACTCATACACACACACACACACACACACACACACACACACACACACACACTTCCTCTTGTGGCCCTCTTGGTGCAGGAAGGAAGTCGTGAGCTGGGTTCTGCAGTGATGCCTTGGTCTCACTACGCCTTTATTTTTATCCCCCATTTACCATCAGCTCTCTTGTCACCCTTATGAGCCTGCGAAACCCGG